AAAAAACTTACATTGAACAATGTAGTGGGGTGGCTCAGCCACCAAGTGACCGTTTTAATAGCGCGATCACTATTACCCTTTTGCCCACATAGGGCAACATAGATGCACTGGACTAGCTTTCGCTTATTGTCCAATGCATCTATGTATGCACCTATGTGGGCAAAAGTTATATCTTGTGTGCGGGAATGGTGGTGGTGAGCCACCAATTCCCGCACAACAAGAGCACAACATTTTCGAAAATGCATCTGAAATATAAAGAAAAATTATAAATGAATTATTATTATTATTCAATTATTTATTGAAGTCCGTAGCACGAGTATTTATCGAGATATCATTGTGTAAAATCTTTTAAAAACTATCGGTAGATAAAAACGGTTATCCAGGTTATTATTAACACAGCTCGGCCGCCGGGACACTGGGATTTTCCCGGTGGGCCGCTGCTTATATTAACAAAAATGGACCGATGACCAGATGACCGATGTATAACCAGGTATGCTCCAAAACGAATTAAAAAGAAAAGTATGTACAGAAAATAAAAGAGATAAAAATCGTAGTTGTTAAAAGAGAGCAAATCATATGTGAAATTGGATAGTATAATATATATTATCGTCGCACGGGATTAGCGATGGTGACTGTAATACATTTTTCAAAATCTTTTACCTTTACTCTCCAGATAGCTAAGAAATTTCCGCAATTTATATTATGTAAACGAGTGCGATGGGATTTGGTATAGGGTTAAAAAAATCGAAAACCTTGAAAAACGTCATGTCATACCGACAAATTGATTATTTCGACTAAACCTATCAGTTTTCAAAGTCGGAATACACGTATTTGAAAAATTAGAAAATTTAACTATTTTTATTTTTACGTAATAAATAGACATCGCGCGGGATAAGTGATTATGTCTGTAATTTGAATAATAATATCTGAAAATAATAACCGAAAATGTATACATACCTTAATAAAATTAAAATTTGAAAAATTTAAAATTTAAAATTAAAAATATACGTAAATATACTATCGTAAAATATACGACGGCACGCAACAATACATAATATACGTAATCGAATAATCGAATAACGAATACTCGAAAAATGTATGTCATGCCAAGTCAAATTAATTATTATCAGTTTCAACAGTGTTAATTTATTAAGAAAAAAAAAATTTTAATTCAAGAAACTAACTATTTATCCCGCAGTGCTGGTTAAACCGCTTAACCCGCGTATTTTCAAAAAGTATTATTGAATAAACTTTACAAATATCCCTGGCTATACCATTCCTGCTATTTTCACGAATAACCATTATAAATCTCGTTCTCCGTTAGCGGACGGCTGAAGTATGACAGAGTGGCGGAAACATACGCGACATTTTATGCAAATTTAAAACTCAATTCCGATATTAATGGTCCGATTAGACCGAGACTTCTAAATCGGATTTCAAATCATTAAATAATCATAAATGAATAACGCATTGAAGTCCGTAGGACGAGTATTTATCGAGATAAATAAAAAGTTTTAAAAACTAACTGTAGATAAATATGATTATCCAGGTTATCTAACGGCAGCGAAGAACATCGCCCGCCAAGAAAACTTGGTCCGGGCTTTCGACTTTTGTTATCATTACCTACTTTTTAAAATTAGATACCTGTATCAATTATCATTTATTGTTTTCTATGTCTTTCTGTGTTAAACAACAACTTTCATTTATACTGTTTTTTTTTTTTTTTTTAAAGTAATTTCTATTATGGGCAGCTTCTTCAGTTGTTTCAAGCTGTCTCCCAACGGTGACAACAGCAAAGAAATATTCAACGAATGTATCGAGGCCGAACCTTGGTATTTTGCAAAATTAAAAGATACGATGCCGAGAAACTACTGCTTTTGCCAATCAATGATCACGGAGCATTTTTAATTAGAGATTCTGAAAGTACAAGGCATAATTACTCTTTGTCTGGTGAGTGTGTGTGTGTCTATCTGTGGTATCATAGCTACCGAACGGATAAACCTATTTTGATTTTGTTTTATCATATTCATATGTATAGTATGTACATTTAATTTAATATAGTTCGCCATGGTAATACTGTTAATCATTATCGAATCAAACGATTAGATGGACGTGGATTCCTCATTGTTCGGCATACCTTTAGAACTCTATATGAATTTGTAGAGTACCATATGTACTTATGTAAGCCTTGTGTACGGGTAAGATTTAATCTTTTAAATTAAAAATATCTACAATAAGTACATGGATTTTTATGTATAAAATACTTAATCTCTTATGAACCACATTATTATTTCTGATGTGTTAAAATCATGTTTACTCTATATGTCCCTATGGGTTGGCTAACACTTTTAATTTTGGCTTACATACTTAATTATATTTAATAAATAATCCATGTATCTAAATGTATGAAATTATGAAAATTATTAATATGTTAAAAATTAAAAAATTATGTTTTTTTTTTTTTTTTTGATAAGGGTTGAAATCAGTAACTGGTGGTTTGTCCATGGAAAGAAAATAAGACATGGATAGTTTGGTGAAGTTTGGACTGGTAAATTTAAATTATATTTAACATAACAAGTACTAACTAAGTTTAGGTTAGTATGATGTATATTACTTTTTTCTATTTTTTCAATTATTAATTAATTACAATCAATAAATATTTTTTCAATTTGATTTGTATGACAGAATTAGATACTTCATATTTTTTATATATACTTCATGTATTTAGAATATATATTTTTATTTACCAATACAATTTTAAAATGTCTTATTTGATTTTTTAAGGGGATAATTTCATATTGGGTATACTTGTATGCATTTTTTGTGTTTTGAAGATTATAAACATTCTAACCTTTATAATAATAAATCTTTAAAATAAATTAAATTTTTTTTGTAACTAAGATACCGTGAACCCCAAAGATTTTTGTTGTATATTTGAAAGAATCCCTAAAAACATTTAAATTTGTAAATGTTTTATAAATTTTTAAAATAAATGTATTATTTTATAAATTGTTACAGATATGGGACTTGGTTTAAAACTCCAACATATGGCAGTTCTGAACCTTAAACCTCAAAATTATATTAATTGTGATCTGGCTGCTCTTGTTTGAGTGAATAATTTTGTAAAAATTGAATATTTTTGCTCATTTATGGGTTTTACAGTACTAATAACTGTAAAGTATGTTGTAAAATATTAGATATATTGCTGAGAAAGATATTTATGTGTATAATTTTTTCATTTTTTTTTATGTTAAGTATTTAATTTGTAATTATGTTCTATGTTATATATTCTATCTAATTATTATAAAAAAAAAGAAAAAATTTTAATTAATGCTTGATCCTAATGATTATGATAATGGATACCTTCCAGATGACACAGACACCAATTTTAATTTCAGAGACTAATACAATGCTTCAAAGAAAATGCTAAATTATTAATGCACGGTTTACAGTAGGTAAAAGTGTTCTTTAAAAAGAGCTGAACCGTTTACAGTAAGAATGTTCATGTTAACACGAGTGTTATTTTAATCTACGTTGTTGTCGGACCAGTAAGAGGCACATCAGTGACTGAAACAGTATCGAGGGGGTCTGAAATTAGAAATTTGATTTCATAATATAATTTACATGTTGATTAAAAAAAAAAAAATTGTACTGAAAATTACCTGTAATCTTAGGTGTAGGTACAGTAAGAGGCACACCAGCTAACGCAACGGTATCAACAGGGTCAGAAAGAAAAAAATTATTTTTATTTGATTATTTACATGTAAACTATTATATTAAGCATATACTAAAAATTACCTGTAACTGAGACAACTCCAATTTTAAGTGTGGTTGTTGTTTTAAAGCATAGGCTTTTAAAAATTAATAATTAAAAGAATGATGGCTTGAAAACCGATTTGGTCTCCAAATGTTCACAGACAGTATGTAACCATCTTCATGTTTAGATTTATTTAGTCCTCTTAAGAGTTGATTACTTATTCAATTCTAAAAAACATGCAAACTCCTAGAAGTCCCGAATCATACTAATTACGTATAATTTATAAAAGGTTAGTCCCGACAGTTGTCACCAACGTTATAAAATAAATGATGTGGAGCGGCCATACCATGGGTTACAAATACACTTTTATCCACAATTAATCATATATAAGTTTGCCGCACAAGCAATCGCTATCAAGATTGCAGTTCTCATTAACGTTAACACGTATAATCCCGTTGCCATATTATTCTTTGTAATAGCCACACGGAAATTCCGCCGCGATACAATCTTGTGGCAAAACTTTTCAAATAATTGTATATTTAAATATTTTTATTTGAAAAGTAATTGTTTTCTTGAAATTTGTTGGTTTATATGTTGGCTTGGATATTTATTTATTATAAATAACAAATCATTTTATTATAATTCATTTGCATACACCATATTCACACAAGTACGATGCATTTTAAACACTTAGTAGCTCTTATTTTGCGTGAATTTGTCGGTCAAAAGTTGGGAAAAAATACAAGCGAAATCAATCCTGGTGACATTTTATGGTACGTGAACACTTTACGAAACGATTATGAGCGTGGAAATGTGGCTGACACAGTTAAGTGCATATTTTTTATATTATTTCAACGTCCTTCACTGTCCAGTGAATTATCCGACTATGTTGATTGCTGGATTAGACGAACTAATCCATTATTATCAATGCTATTTGATGATTATAAATGCATTGACCAAAAGTTCAAATTCGATGAAAAATATTTTTACCCATACAACATCAAGCGAAACGGTTGGAGATTACGCAGCACGGATGAAGATGTATTCAACCCAACTGATGCCACATTGAATGAAATTAAGTCAGTTTTGCATAACTACAACAATCCTTTACACCCCGTGGATACAAATGTTCGACGATGCAGGTGAGCTGCAGAACCTATGTACGGATGGTTATCACCACCTAGAAGGAGAAGACGACAAGAAATGTGTGAAAATGTTGATATAAGGGAATTACCAGATGCCACTGCTAGTTTCTAAAAAAAGGTCTACTAATTTTCCATAACATATTATTTCAACGCACGGCTAACGGTTATCTATGAAAACTATCATTAATAATAATCGGACTATTTTATCTTAATGTATTTTTTGAGTCATGTTTTAATTGTACATTATACATAAATGTCAGTAATATTTTATTTCATAATTTTAATAATGACAAAATATAATAATTTACTATAAATAAAAATGTATGTATGTAAAAAAAAATTATTATTTTTTTTAAATTAATTTTGCCCCCCCCCCCCATCCTAGAAAAATTTTTGGGGGCGCCAAAAAACAATTTAATATTACCAACACAGGCGTGTTTTAAACAATGTTACAATGTTACACCGCTGGGCTGCTGCGGATTGTCACCGCCGAGCGGTTGCTAATATTTCCAAGTTAGAACAAATTACCTACTTCAGCATGTTTTCAGAAATGCCTGCAGTGCGTAACAGAAAACTCTAGGTCGGTTTCGAACCCTGGTCAACCGTGTCAGTTAGTCAGTCGGTCCGACTGCGACACGACTAGCACCGTGATTTGATGATAGATTATTGTGGTATTATTTACCAGTATCACTGACTTATGAAAAAAAATGCATAAAGTTTTTCTCGGAACGTAGCGGTGTTCTTGCCATTGAACCTTTTTCCGAGTTCCGTGGGATAGTGATAGAATAATCGCAACCATTGCGCCAGAGCTATTCACTAATTATACAGTGTTAAAATCCTGGTATTTAAAACGTTTATCTCTGCTAGTTCTTATCTGATATTTATCGCACACTATATTTTATTATAAAATTAAAAATTAAGATATTTATGTTTATCAGTCATAATTTATTATTTTGCTTAGATATACTAGAGTCGAAAATCTGAATTTCTATGATGCATGATTTAATACGATTTTTTGAACCGGGCATATCACGATAACACGTTGGCTGCTCTGTGTACAAGTTTCAAAAATATGAAATAAGGATTACGGCGTCCAGAACTTATAACTGAAAAAAGGAAATTTTCGATAAGCAATTTTGAGGTTAATCCTGTTTTTATTATTGTACGGCCGAAATTTGGACTTTTTGAATACAAAAACACTACGAAATGAAAGTAGACTTATAGAGGGATGCTATCATACATTTTTCATAACCCTAAGTCGAAACCCTGATTTTATACGATTTTTCGAACCGAGGCATATCCGTTTTTCTACAAGATTGCGCATGCTATCAGGGTAAATCATATACATATCGCCCGAACGGCCATAATTTGGACTTTTCTTCTTCGAAACCCCTATAGAACGACAGTAGAAGTACATTGAAATGTTTTCATACCTTTTTCATAACCATAAGTCAAAAACCTGATTTTCTACGATTGTCAAATGAACGAAAACGACAGTACACGGATGTTATGAATTATATAGGATACTCCCGTACGGAGCACATTTCCATTGTTGGTATGTCCGTTTGAAAATTCACCAAAAATCCAATTTTTGGACTACCGATATGAAAATCATATCGGTAGGTTCGATAACACGTTGGCTGCTCTGTGTACAAGTTTCAAAAATATGAAATAAGGATTCCTGCGTCCAGAACTTATAATTGAAAAAAGGAAATTTTAATTAGTTATTTAGTTTTGACTTGTGGTGATGAAAAGGGTATCAAACGATAGGTATAGACATCTGCTATCCGTTGTGTAAGAATGGTATATAACATTTGAGAAACGAGTCCGGTGTGAACTCATTACCGAAGGTACTTATTTTGCCGTAACAAGCCTAGCGGTAGAGGTTACTTTTCAAAAACTCGCCAAAAATCGAAAACTCGACCAATCGGTCTGAAAGGGGTATCAATCGAAAGGTATAAACATCTGCTATCCGTTGTGTAAGAATGGTACCTAACATTTGAGAAACGAGTCCGGTGTGAATTCATTACCGGAGGTACTTATTTTGCCGTAACAAGTCTAGCGGTAGAGGTTACTTTTCAAAAATTCGCCAAAAATCGAAAACTCGACCAATCGGTCTGAAAGGGGTATCAATCGAAAAAATATATTATTAAAAGTATATTCTTAAGTTTTGATAGTCAATTATTACTAAATTTTTCTTTTAATAATTTATTAATTCCTTTCTTGAAATTATATTTTTTAGCTATTTCCGATACTAAATTATACTCTACTGGTACGTTCATTAAGTCTCCCATTGTTTCATGTACTTTTCTATTTATAATTAATTGTGTTTTCTTTTTATTAATAAAATTGGAATAATTGTCATCTGTAATTTCTGAAATTTTATACATTCGGCTTAATGCATCTACATTTGAATTTTGTACACCCGGTTTATATCTAATCTCATAATCGTACTCTTCTAGTTGTATTCGCCAACGCGCTAATTTAGATAATGGATCTTTTAAATTAACTAACCATGTTAATGGTCTATGATCACTCAAAATAATAAATTTCCTCCCGTACAAATAAGGTCGAAATTGTTTAACACCATATACTATTGCTAAATATTCTAATTCAGTGGTACTATAATTATTCTCACTTTTACTTAGAGTTCGCGACGCGTAAGCTATCGGTAAATCTTTTCCTATTTCTCCTTGTGATAGAATTGCTCCTAATGCTTTATTACTTGCATCAGTTGTTAAAATAAATGGTTTTAAAAAATCTGGATATTTTAAAATTGGTTCTGAACATAATTATTTTTTAAGTAAATCGAAAGATTTTTGACAATCTTCGGTCCATTCGAATTTAGTATCTTTTTTTAGTAAGTTTGTTAATGGTTTTGCCTTTACACTATAAGATTCTATGAATTTACGATAATAACCTGATAATCCTAAAAATGATTTTATCCCCTTAACATTAGTTGGTTCCGGAAAATTTAGAACTGCCTTAACCTTCCTTTCGTCTGGTTTAATTCCGTGTTCTGATATTACATGGCCTAAGTATACGCATTCTCGTGTTAGAAATTCGCATTTATCCGGTTGTATTTTTAAATTATGTTCTCTTAAACGTTCGAATACCTCTATTAATTTATGATTATGATCTCTTAAATCTTTTCCATATAAGATTATGTCGTCTAAATATACTAAACATTTTATTCCGATTAATCCCGATAATACATTATTCATTAATCTCTGAAATGTGGCTGGTGACGTTTTCATGCCCATTGCCATTCTTTTAAAATGCCAATAACCTTGATTCGTCGAAAATGCTGTTAATTCGCGAGATGATTCGGCAAGTGGTGTTTGATAAAATCCCATGTTAAATCTATGACGCTAAATAATTGACATTCGCCCAATTGATCTAGTATTTCAGTGATATAAGGATATAAGTGGATGAAATTCATTTAATGTTACTTTATTTAGTTTTGGAGACGTATATGTCTTCATTATTTGAAAAGAAGAGATCTAAGATATTCGAACAATGATTTTGTGTAAAATTATATTGAAATAGTTTTAATAACATAATTAGTTCTTCAAGTACCTCAAATTTATTAGTTTTTGGACCATTAATTCTAGCATGTAGGTCAGTGTTATCCCAATAAATACCACTTAAATTATTAATAATAATTCAATAATTCAATAATAACTCAATAATAATTCAATAATAATGTGGGTATTTAGTTAGAATTTTTTTAGGTGTCAATGGTTTTTTTTTTATGAACATAGAATGTTTTCGTTTCTTTTATAAAATTGTATCTTAAAATAATATGGTTATTACAAAATATATGCTTACAAACAATTGTTGATTGAAGACATGTTGTTGACTGAATGATCCGGCGGAGTATCAGCTATTCAATGGAAGTTGAGAAGTTGAAGGACTGCAGGTTGTTCAGCTCCTCGGTGGTTCCGATGTGGAATTGCCTTCTATTGAATATCCTACCGACTGCGCCAATTTTTGTTACGTGCCAACCGTTTGATCCGTTAATTCAGTTACGTCTCAGTCAACGCTTGATTGGAAGTGTAGTCAGGAATAATTAAGACTTTTTTTAAAATAATTAAATTTATTTCACTCATAAAATTATCTTAACTACAATTTTGTAAATATTCTAGTGGTAGAAATTATCTAAGTCCTAACAAAATTAATATTAAAATATAATAAAAACATAATAATACACAGTCTTGAATTACATTGAATAAAGTGATTTGTACATATTTACATAATAAAATAAATTGTTATACCTAATAATTAGTTTTTTATGGTTTTTTTTACATATTTCCGTTTAGCCTCGTGTTGTCAATACATTAAAAAGTAGTAATTATTTTAAGTTATTTGAATCAATTACAATTTATTCCGTACAGTCTGAGTCAGAATCAGTTTCGCCTGTTATAGTCATAACGGTTGAGCCCATGTTTTCCATGACATCGTAAACAATAAAATCGATTTCCAAAAATTTGTCTTCTTGCTTTATGGTGTGCTCGACAAAGTTTTTCCACATATTGGGAGTGACACGTTCAACGCCATCAATTAAAAGTTTATGAACATCAGATAATTTGAATGTCGTATTGTTCATTTTAACATGGTTCTTCACAGACGACCACGCGAGCTCAATAGGATTGAGCTCGCAATGGTATGGTGGTAAATGAAGTATTCCAATGTCATAGTTTTTTACAAATTCTTCAATGACGTACTTATCGTATCTAGGCTTGATCCGCTTTACAATTTCCAATAAACGTGGTATAACCATAGGTTTTTCGTATGTTTCACCTTTTTCGTACAACCACTTTTCAATATCTGCCTTTCGCCAATTCGTTGTAGGACACGATTCAATTTTAACGGAATGGTACGAGGCGTTGTCCATTACCACAACAGCATTTTTTTTTAACAACGGAATAATATTTTTAATCCAGTTAAAAAATGTCTCACCATTCATTTCTTCATGGTAATCAATAGAATTCTTTTTGGACTCAAATAACAATAGCCCACCAGGTACAAATCCTTCATCAGAGCCAATGTGAACTACAATAATTCGTTTTCCCTTGCCACTTGCGTTGGTAGTACCACACGTCAATCCCTTGAGAAATGTGTCCCTATGAGATGTAACTGTATTGTCTACCCACGTTTTTTGTGTACAATCATCGGCATTCACCCACATTTCGTCTAAGTAATATATAGGACGACCTTGTTGTCGATACTTCCTGATGGCTTCTAAATATTTATTTCTCCAAATCACAATATCATCTCTCTCTATTAAAGCACTACATTACTAAGAAGTAATAATACGCATATTCCGAGTCATAAAAACGTACCAAGAATATTTATTGCACACATAAATTTGCGAGTGCCACGCGCAAATCTCAGATCACAAGAAACCACGAACATCAATCATTCAAATAAGATAACCAGGCCAAAGATAGCCACGTGCCGAAAACAACGCAATTAAAACAGAATCAAACAGAGTATATAAAGGCTCCGTTTCACCACCAACGACAGACGTGTCCAACTATCAGACCAAGCCCTTCTGAGTTTCGTCTTCGATATTGTTAGTGCACAAATTTATAATTTATATCTGTATCTGTATTTGTATCTGTATTTATTAAAGTGTTTACAAGTGTTAATTGAAATTTCCAGCGGCTCTAGTGAAGTCCGACCCTCAACATCACAAACTTTTTTTTCAACTTCGGAATCACAACATTCCGATACTTCTACATCGTATACAACAGAAGAATCCAGAAGAACACCACAACAGTTTGAGGAACTAGATGATGATCCATCGGGTTGACGCGGTCCCACGGTAGGTGGAGGTACAGCACGTACACCACTATCACGGACCGCGCCG